TTTTTTTTTTTTTTTTTTCAAATTGTTCATATTATATAAGCTATTTATAATATTCAACAGTGCAAGCATTTTTAGAATTAGGATATTTTGAATAATTTAAATTATAATTAGGGGAAATGCTATGGTTTATTTCGTCGGGATTTGTAAGTGTTAGATCATCATATAACCGTTAGAGATAGTTGATCTACCGATTACAAATCTTGATGGAATGGTTTCGTAACTGGACCGTAGCATCTTCCTATAATTAGATCTAGCCATACTACTGAAAGTCATCTATACAAGCTGATATGGTCCGAGATCGGTGGCTTCGGTCTGGCGGAAGGTTCTTCCCGGTCACGACGTTGGTTCACTTGATTCGGTCCGGTCCGAGCTTGAGTGTTCTCCGGTACCTGAAAGCGCGCCGGAATTTCTCCGGCGCAAGCCCTCTGACGCCCAAGTTAGGATCTCGGATTTTGAGAGAATTATCTGTGATAAATGTTGTAGTAGAATATTAAATGAAGTCTTACCCTTTTACTCCAGCATTTATCGTATATATAGTGTTTAGTTGTACGGATTGCATACTAATTGCTGTTACTAAGGGTCGGACCAGAGTAGGTGCTCGACTCTTTCTCAGGGGTCGACTCCTCGCGAATCGACACCTTAGGGTTCGACCGTGGCATCACGATCCGACCATCTTATGGACTGAGTTGACTGCTCCCCACGTGCTCTTTCATGTGTTGAACGTCGGCTCGATGGGTCGAGCCCCCACATGGGTCGAGGGGTCGAGCTCCTACACGGGCCAGTGGGTCGAGCCCCCACATGGGTCGAAGGGTCGAGCCCCTACACGGGCCAGTGGGTCGAGCCCGTTCGGCCGTGAATGCTAGGGTCAAGGGCCGAGCCCTTTCGGCTCTGGGGCGCTAAGGCCGAGGGTCGAGCTCATGGGCCGGTTTTGCGAGTTCTTACCCGGTTTCATCATGTTGGGCCGAATCAATGTTAATATCCCTATCACAAGCGACAAGCAAGTTTGAGCATTATAATTGTAATACCCCGTTTTATCGTGGCTTATTTGGGATTATTTGTTTATTTATTTATTTCTTAAATACTATTATTATTATTATTATTAGTATTATTATTATTATTGAAACTGCTAAATGCCTAAATGTGTCTAAATGTTATATCTAATAAATATTTATGTGTATATATATACATATATATTACCCAGTTATTTCATTTTATCGCGCGATTAAATTGAGCCCGAGAGCTGGCCTCATTTGATCCGACCCATATATATATATATTATTTAAGTATAGTATTATGCATTTTTATCGTCATTAAATTTATCGAACCGTTGAATCGAACCGAGCCCGGATATTCGTAAGTCGAACCGTTGGAGAATTCAATTCAATGGGGCGCCATATTTCCGGCCCATTCGAGATTAAGTCTAGCCCCATTTGTGGTTTATCAATTTTTGGGCCTTTTGTGTTTATTTCTGGACCCACTAAGAGATTAATCTGCTTGGCCCAGACGAGTAATGTTCTTGGCCCAAAATTCTTTTATTCCTTTGGCCCAACATGATTAAAATATAGCCCAAAATGAATAGTCCGCAGATATTTTTCTTCTTCTCCACCGCTTGCGACCAGGTCCCCAACGGCCTCCATATCCATTGCGATATTTCTGCAGAATCTCACCACTACTCTCGTCACTCTCCCTCTCGCCTATATCTATCCAGATCTCTTGCCATCACAGAGAAGAGAAATCATCATTCTCTCTCTCAAGCCTTATCCGTCGCCGTCATCATCTTCCTCGGCCTGCAACCGTCATGAGCCCCTCCCCGCCAGTGAGCAGCGACCTCCACATGCACCTGCTCCGCCTGCAAGCAGCGTTCTGCCGTCAACGACAACCTCCCCAGCGCTTGATCATCCGTCGCGAGTTGCAGGTTTAAAAAAAAAAAAAAAGAAAAAAAAGAAAATCGAGAAGAAAACAGAGCAAGAGAAAGACCAAACCTGCTGCGCGTCATCGACCACCATCGCAATCGCCGGACCACCGTTCTTAGCCGTCGAGTCCCGTCGGAGTGTCGAGCATAGTCGTTGAGTCCCGTCGTGTTCCGTCGGAGTGCCGAACCGAGCCGACGAGTCCCGGCGTGTTTTCTTCCCGCGGCTTCGTCGTTCGGTCCCCTCAATCATCATCGGCGTGCTCTGTTCTCTGCTCCTTCACGCGTCCAGCAACGCAGCGAGCCTGCTACTTCGACGAGTCGTTGTCGGCGTGAATCAGTAGGGCCCGACCACCATCTGCATCCACGTTTTCCTGCCACTCCCGCGACTAGCAGCCGGCGAGCACCAATACTTGAACGAGAACTCCCGTGAGACTTCTTGTTCATGGGTACAGTCCCAGGCCCGTTCAAACTGCCACTTTTCGCCGTCGAGTTCGTCGTGCACCGCTCTGATTCCCCAACTTGATCACGGCAGTTCTGTGAATCTCCGTCGAGACCCTTGCAGCGACCAGCAGTCTCCGACAAGCCCCGTCAGTTGCTGTTCATCCTCCACGTGAGACGAATCAAAGCCGTCGAGCTCACAGCGTGTCGTCGTTCCTTTCATCCCATTTTTTGAATGCTTTCCCGAGAACGGTTCATCGAGCTGAACTCTTGCCGTTATTCCTTCAACTGCTTGTGTTGGCTATATTCCAGTATCCAGGTGGGTTTTAATCTAAAATTTGCTATGTTATAATTGAGGTAAGATTTTTATACTTTATGTCTATGAATGTATGTGTGAGTCATGAGACGGTGCCTAGTGGTGGGCGATCTCCAACCTTGTGGTGGGTTGACTCATTTTAGCCTAGTTGATGGGCCGTGACCGTTGTTTTTGCACTTCGGCACGACTGTACTCCCGCTGACGAGTTTGGGCTTACCCCTGGCGGCTTATGATAGGTGTGCACATGAGTATAGTGATGAGTAGGAGAATAGTTTGATATGTCTTTTGGCCATGTACTTGCATATGACTCTAGTATAGGTTCCTTACCAATATATTATGCATAGTGGTGAGCACCTCGTTTATATTTGTGCTCATCCCCACCTGCTCTTCATTGATGCAGGTTAAGCACGTGTTGGGCATGACGAGACTAAAGACGAGTGGATGGTCAATCAGTATTAATGCTTTTATTTGCTTCCGCATGCTTTGTTATTTACGTTGAGATTATCAGACTTGTTTATTCATCCCTATTGCTTTTTTTGGGATTGGTTGAATTGTTGAACCATGTGGAATAATTTTATCAGCTTGGATTATGTTGATAATCCTATTGCTAGATATGTTGAAATCTAGTCTTGGAACTTAAATTATGTTGAATATTCTCGTTTCCTTTATGCTGATTATGTGATTAACTTTGGAAAATTCTCAAGTAGCGCCAAATGTTTTTATAAATCGATAAATGGTTTCGAAATTTTAAAACAAGATTTTTGGATAAGTCCGGAAATGTCTTCCAAAATATTTCGGGGCGTTACAATAATGAACTAAATTTAACGGCGTTGTTGTGAATTCTGGTTTTATTGATTCCTTTTTTGACCTTAATCAAGAAAAATTAGATTCACCACAATACTATTTTTTTTTTCCCTTTTCTTTATAATGTCACGCATCAAGATTTTAATGTGGAAACTTAGAAGAAAATAAGATTTTAGATTGCTATGATATCAGTGTTAGCAATGTGGATTTAGTTGTGTGCAATTTGCCTACACAATGATATTAAAACACATCCATTTTTAGCAAGACGGAGCCGAAACTGACAAACCAAACCGAATTGTGTAATTTGTTGTTGCAGCTCGTTTTTAGAGTGGAAATTTTGATTTGGCTTCGATTTAATTTTTTTCTATACTGCAGTGCGGTTCGACTATTCCTCTTCACATGTTAGGTTTTCAAGTTTTTATAATTCATTGCATTTTGCACCTAGTCACACCAAATTAAATACACATGTATGGATAAATCAAGGGCAAAGCAAAAAACCGAGTTGAACCGTGCATTGTGGCATGATTTGATTTAGTTATTTTGATGAACAAAATTTTCAATTCCAATTTTTCCCATGATGCAATGCGGTGAAGTTCGGTTAATATTAAGTTTAGTATTCTGCATACAATTCAGTTCAATTATCTTGATTTAGAAAAATTTTCGATTCAATTTTTTTAAGATGGTACCATTTGGTTAATTTTTTCATAAGTTCAGTTATTCGACATTCTGTTTTTTACGTTTTCATATAACAAACCGTACCGTTACTCACCCCATTCTTGCCATTATTACAACTTTTATCTACATTGTGAGTACAATCCATGCAGCATAATCTATCATCCGACATTCATATGGAAATAATCCCCAAACTTAAAGAAAATAGAAAGCAAACCAATAGTAATAGATTGTTTCATGGAAAAAATACTAAATAAGAACAGAAAAAAAAAAAAAAACACCATTAATGAAGCTTTACAACCTATAACCACCAGTGTCTTGGATAATTCCTGGATAATTCCACCACCATCCAAACAATACACACTTCTTAGCTCAAGAAATAATTCCTGGTTAAATATTTTTTTTTCTCCAACTGTGCAATAATTTTCCAAATTCAATCTTACAACAACCAGCAGACCTAAGTCGTAAATCCGAAATTCCTTTCGATTCGTTTATTTTTCTTTTATCTATTCTTTTCACGGGCCACGTGTCTTACGGAAACAAAGACAACCCTGCTGTTGATCGACCGGGATCATTCCACCGCCTCTGGACGTGTCGATGACTTCCAACATCGAGACAACCTCGTCCATTTCCGGCCTCCTGTCCGGATTTGCATCCCAACATCTTTTCATAACGTTGGCCAATGAGCTCGGGCAACATCTAGGTATTTCGGGCCTCAAGTTCTGGGGATAACAGTTGCAACGAACCAATTAACGCAAAGATAAGTTGACATAAGTCGAGGGTAGGGCTGCAAACGAGTCGAGTCGAGCCGAGCATGGACCTTGTCGAGCGCAAATTGAACTTGAACTGCTCGAGCTTGAGCTTGACGAGCGATGTAAATGGTTGCTCGACTCAATTTCTAAAAAAATAAGTATGCTCGAGCTCGACAAGAAATGTAAAATGTTGCTCGACTCGACTCGTGAAAAAACAATAAGAATGCTCGAGCTCGACGAGCCATGTAAAATGTCGACTCGATTCGTGAAAAAGATAAGAATGCTCGATCTCGAGCAGCGAAGAGAATAGTTCAATCTGCGTTCGACAAGGTTTGTGCTCGATCGAATGCTCAAGTTCTGTGGAGCTGTAACGAACCAATTAGCGCAAAGATAAGTTGACATAGTCAAGGGTATGGTTGCAAACGAGTTGAGTCGAGTCGAGCATGAACCTTATCGAGGTTCATCGAGTTGAGCGCAGATTGAACTTTTTTCTTCGCTCGAGCTCGAGCTCGAGCTCGACGAGCCATGTAAAATGTTGCTCGATTCGACTCGTGAAAAAATAAGAAGGCTCGAGTTTGACTTGATACTTGACAAGGCTCGAGTTCGGCTCCACACTTCAACTAAAATTTAAATATAAAAGTACTATTTTTAAATATACAAAAGACAATTTTGGCCTTCGTGTTTTAATATTGACAATAAAACTATATGAGTTATTTATGTAAGTACAAAGTCGAGCGGCTCGGCGAGTTTACGAGCCTCTCTTGAAATGATGCTCGAGGCTCGAGTCGTTTGCTCGATTGAACTGCTCGAGCTCGTGTCGAGCATTGACTCGAGTGCTCGCGAGCGGGCTTGTAAGCCATTGACTCGCTTGCAGCTTTCGAAAGGTTCTAAAAGGAGAGTAACTGGAAAAATAATTTTATTCGTTACCTGGCGAACGACTGCTGATGTCACCTCGGAGAAACTAAGGTCAGGATACGGCATGTCGCAACAATATATTTCCCACAAGCAAATGCCAAAGCTGTACACGTCACACTTTCGGTTGTACGGGTTTCCGTTTAGAACCTGTAGTTTTGTTTTCACACTTGTCACGTTATTCAGACGCATTAATCAATGATGAACAGCTTCATTTCATTACTTCCCGAAGGTTTCGATTTCTATTTGTTTTACAAATAAATAGATATGTTCATAGTTTCTTTTGGCTCATGACCCAACTTTCTACATTTTGCACTTAATGCTTAGGAGCTGATATTTGACCTACCATTTGTCTGCCACATGTTCAAGTTTTTGTTTGGTCCACAACACACACGCGCGCACTCACACACACACGCACACACACACACACATATATATATAGCGCGACAAATGATTTAATTTGGAGTTGCAGATTATAAATTTTCGATTTCTTGCGAGCAAAATGAAAGAAAAAACAAATAAATATAAAAATATATATACCTCCGGAGCCATGTAACCGAGTGTTCCAGTCTCCCCTGTCATGTCATTTGGATTCGAAGCCTCCACACGAGCAACCCCAAAATCAGCTATTTTAACCGTTCGTGTTTTGTCTAACAACATATTCTCTGTTTTGACATCTCTATGGACTATCTTCTGGGAATGAAGGTAACTCAACCTAAAAGAACGTAACAAATTATTCTAAAAAGGGAATGAATTTGGGTTTTAGTTTGAAAAATGAAAATAATAATAAATAATGAAGGTACCCTCTAGCAAGATCGAGTGCCATCTGCACGACTACTTTAAAAGCAAGCTTCTTTCGCCTGTTCTTAATGAGGTAAGATTTGAGTGCACCTCCCGGAAGATACTCCACAACAACACAGCAGATGTTACTCGGCATGCCGATTTGGCCGTTCTCTGTTTGAATGTTAAGTCCCGAGGAGCCCATGGTAGCACCTATGAACTGAACCAGATGGATTTAAAAATGGTGTTAGGGTAAAATGATTTCTATTAGAGAAGTAACTACTTTATAGAAGCTGTTTTAGTTTTGAAATTTAAGGTCTCGGTGAAATATTTTTTTTTTATCTCCACAGACCTGAAATAAGAAACTAACTTAAGAATCGATATAATATGGAATGCAGATTTGGGAACCCTTCTAAAGATAGAATATTATTCGAACCACATGAAAAAACTAAGGACTATAAACATTAGTGAAAAAATATCAACCTTAGTTACATTAGGATGATCGAGTTTATGCCAAACTGCAACTTCTTGAGTAAATGCTGCTCTTAGGGAAGCTATTTCGCCTTCTGTCCTGTGGCCCTCTTCTCCCCAGTCGAGCAGTTTAACTGATGATCACAGGAAGCTATTCAACTCTTATGGAATGGAAGCAGTGATTTTGACAAATCACAATGACTATATAAGCAGTGATTAATTCAACATTTTTTACTTTCCTATTTAAATCATTCACTAACCATCAATATGAAACGACATACATGTCTCGTAATACTTGGGCGATTCCATTCTTAATTTGATGTTATCTTTGAAAAATGTTTCGTAACACTTCGTACTCCCAATTATTTTGATTCCTTAGTCCCTTTTCACATACTTACACACACTAACAGGACCAATATGATAAATCTCGAATTTATGGAAACAACAATATTTTGTGATCCGTTCGATGCTAATCCTAGAAAAAAATTGCTGTCCTGACCCCTAAAATTTCCCTTGGCTTCTTGAGAGATGAGACTTCCTCTAATTGATGTTAAGTTCATTCAAACTTCCACAATCTCCACAAAATGCTCATGAATTACCACGAAACAGAAAACATACAAGACAAAAACTAAGTAAGCATTTTTGTTTAGGGAGATGCTAAGGTCCCATTACGGAACCATTTCGTCGGGGTTTGTAACCGTTAGATCAACTATCCCCGACAATTACATGATGATCTAACGGTTACAAACCCGACGGAATGGTTCCGTAACGGGACCCTTCTGTTTATCCTATCGTCACCTTATAATTGTTATTACAGTTAAGAAAAACCTCGATAGTACCATGCCTAAGATAACTAGAAAGATCTAAGTTGCCTTTCTAGAGACTCGAGTCAAAACAAAAAAAAATAAAAAAAAAATAAGAGAGAGAGAGAGAGAGAGAGAGAGAGAGAGAGAGAAGAGAGCAAAAAATAAATGGTTGAATATCACAAGAAAGTTGAGAGAAATAACAACCCAAGTTATTACAGTCACCTCAAAAAACTCAAAACAAACCCGTGCCAAACAAGTCACGGACTTCATAAGAATGCATTCACTCACTGTGCCATACCACAAATCTCCACACAGGAAAATCAAGAAAGAAAGGAAACAAGAACAACAGTAAATAAAGAAACCAATCATGGCACATTTCTCTTACAGATTTGCCAATCAACAAACAAAGAGAGACATGGTTAATGAGCATTAAAAGCATTTCTTAACACCCAACAAACTGAAGTATTGAACTGACTATTAAATTCAGGTTGTATTATAGGGAGATGCTAAGGTCCCGTTACGGAACCATTCCGTCGGGATTTGTAACCGTTAGATCATCATGTAACTATCAACTATCCCGACGGTTACATGATGATTTAACGGTTACAAATCCCAACGGAATGATTCCGTAACGGGACATTAGCATTTCCCTCACCATAATTACTCAATTAAATCTAATGCACAAAAGATTAATTCTTGTCACATATTAGCTTCAACCATATCTATGCACCTACATTATTCCATAATGTAACAATTTTTGTATAATCGAGAATTACTCTATAGGTCCTTTAACTATAATTTTTAGACATGTAGTCAAAAAAATTGCAAGAAAAACACAGAAAATGACAAAAGGAAACTTAAAGAAGTAAAAAGATTGAAACTTTCAAACAGTTGAAAGTGAAAACCATTAATACGAAAAAGTGGGGTGGGGGAGAAATTGACAGGACGGTGGACTGACCGGCGACATCCTGGCCGTCGTAGACGCCACGGTGGACAGTCCCAAACGTGCCACGTGCCAGAACACCCTTTATGATCAGCTTCGACGGGTCAATTTCCCACTCCTGCCTCTGCCTCCTGGCGCCGCCGGCGGTGGGTTCGATGGCGGCGGCGGAGGAGGAGATGGCCGCAACGGCGGCGGTGGGGCTGGGGAGGAGCTCGTCCTGATTCTTCTTCTTCTCCTTCTCGAGAGTCAAAACCCTGCTCAGGTGGCGCTCGAGCTGCTCGTCGAGGCTTTTCAAATCTATCTGATCTGCTCGCACAAATCCATTGCTGGGTTTCTCCATTTTTTGTGCGAGTTTGCTGCGTGCGTGTGCGTGTGTGTGTGTGTGTGTGTGTGTGTGTGTGATTTCCTGTTGATTCGATACCTCAAAAGGGGCGATTCAGTTACATGTGGGCTTGTGGAGCAGAGCCTTTTTCTTGATTTTTTTGTTTTCCTCTGTTTTTTTATGACTTGAAGAATAAATGGTGTGAGGAGAGGGGGAAGAGTTAATTAGAGGGAATGTTGGGGTGTTTTCTGCAAATATTATATGTAACTGTGAAGTGCATTGTGTATAGTCTCTTTGAAGAGAGAGAGAGAGAGCTATAGAGTGCCATGTGGGCACATGGAATTGCCTGAATACAACGTGTGTTGATGACCCACAACTTTTAGTTTTTGTTCAATCAAGTCCCATATATTGCTTTGAATCTCAATGTCAGTCCTATATATTATAGTTTATTATCATACACGTCATTAATCATTGACTTTTATTAGTATTATCACTACATCCCTTCGTAGTCGATTAGATTCATAAAAATTTTATGAGTCATCGGCATCAATCACTTAATACATGTCTAAGTAAATTTATTGTAGGACATGTATCAATATACTATTTATGAATAACTATGAATGACTGCGTAAGTCGAGTCATTCACAACAAAACTAAAAAGATTCAATACATGCAAATGCAATGTTTTTTGGTGTTACAAGTTACAACAAATGTCACTTGTGAGCTAGCTACCCTTTTTTTCTTTATAATGAATCATTTTAAAGTGGAATTGAGATTCAATAATTTTCATCAATTTCTTTTTCCACATAATTAATCATTTTAAAGTTGAATTGAGAGTCAATAATTTTGGTCAAGTCTATTACACATTTGACTAGTCAAGTAAAAAAAATGATTGCCCTCTTGGGTTAGAAAGTGCAGTATCTGCCACAATATTTGACTTGCAAGACATGAACCCATACATGGCAAAGTTTTGAAGATCACAAAATAGTGTCCCCATGTGACAGTACCTAACTACTGAGAATCACAGTGCATGGCATTTTTTGTTTTGTACCACTCTCGGTTTTGTAGCACGCATACTAGCTCGTGTGGATCAGATATAATGCTCGCTCGAATCTGCAAGTCCGTGATAATTTCTAGCTCGATGATAGATTCTGTGTCGAGAAGTTCGGTATGACAGCTCGAGGTAGAAGTCAACTTTGGTCAAGGACTAGCAGGTCGTAGCTCATCCAAGAGCTCGATCAGAGGAGGTGTCATGAGGTCGACTGAACGACCTGATAAAGTATATGATAGTAGAGTCATGAGGCCGATGCGCCAAGCTAGGACCTGCATGCAGTGTCCTGACGAACGAGGAAACAAAATCTTATTCACATGGAAAGTCTATGAAATCATAATTTAGAAATCAATGAAAAAAATATAGAAATCAGTTAGGCATAAACTTTAAAAGATAGCATTTACAATTAGAATACAATTTGTAAATATAAAAATAAAATGAGACTAAAAGGCAAATAATTTGATATTTTATAAAGGCAATGATAGTGGTGGCCTGGTGGGCGTGTGCCGGCCCAATTGTATAATCATTTTAGAAAATGGGTCCTGTTGGACCAAAATCACAGACCATTGCCGACTTCCTATCCATCCAAGACAATTTTTGAGCAACTTTAATGACAATCTCGTTGACCCTTTACATATTTACTTCATTTTTTCAAATACACAATATTAGAAAAATATATATATATACATAAGCCATTTATATATTAGTTATAAATAATAATAACAAAAAACTCAATCATTTATGGTATATTTATAATAATAATAATAAAAAAAAAAGAGACTTCGTAAATGTCCAATTATAAATGAGTTTATAGGTGAATTCTATAATTTTCTCAACTAGTACAATGTATTACACGGGTGACTGTTAAGTAATTTATACTTAAAATTAAAAATAATGAAAAAAATATTATAAATTTTAAATTTTTTTTTTTTTTTGAAAAACTATTTGTTATTTATATTTGATGACACATGTCACTTATACGACTTATTCATCTTATATTATAATATTTTTTAACTTATATTGTAAACTACATTTTAGTCAAATAATTTAAATAATTTTATTTTTTAGAAATAATATTAATAGACAATTTAATTTTGTTATAAGGTAAATATAATTATTTATTCACTCTATATGTACACACTACAACAAAAAGAAGTTCTAACAACATAAATATGGTGACTTTTTTAAATAAGTGTAATTAAATTGATGTGTTTGTGTCGCTTTTTAAAAAGCGTTACAAAAATAAAATTATAACAACGCTTTTTAAAAAAAATGTAATTAAATCATGTCACTTTCTAAAAAGTGTCACCATGTTAATCGACATTGAGATATTTATTCAAAAGTGTAATTAAATCATGACGATTTATACAAAAGTGTCGTAATATTAGTTATATGGCGACATATTTTAAAAATTGTATTAAAATAATGTCACAATTTTTACTAATATGACAACACTTACCTCAAAGTGTAATTATGTTATGATACTTATACAATTGTGTCATCATTTTTAAACATATAACAACACTTCAAAAAACGTAATAATTATTTAGTTAGGGAAATTTTGAATAAGTGTTGCATTATTTTAAAAAAAAAAATTGTTATATAAAATGTGGTTAATATATTTATAATTAAAATTAGTGTTTTCTATTATTTTAAAATAAAGACCGAGGGAAAAGATAAAATTGGGGAAATGCCTTATGAAGCACTTCTAGAATAAAAAATGATAATAATATAATTAATCCCCACAAAAAGAGATCATAAATATTCAATTATAGTTATTTCATATCTAGTTATGTTTGGATTGTAAGTAAATTAAAATCTATCAACGTTAAATGAAAAACATAAAAAATTGACACATAGGATCTCGAAGCGTTCGAGGTGCTACTTAAATTCAACGCATTTAAGAATTATATATACAGTGAGATATTCATCATGTATGTCAGGTACACCATTATACTTCATAAGTTATATGATTTGATGATTTTATAGCCAAATTGTTCTCTTTGAACATTTTTCTTTGCCACAAATTCACTTGTGGACAAAAAATAAAAATAAAAAATCCCTGTATTTTATTTACCTTCTAAACTATGTCAATTTCATCACTTTATCATAAAAAGAATATATATAAATTAGCTAATAAGTTGTCTCTCACATTATACGAAATGACCAATAAAAAGTCAAACTCAATAAACAACGTATATTGAATCATTTTAAATTATTTAGGAGTTTTTGTTAGGAATTTTGAATTGGCATTATTATTCGAATAATCTTGTTAATTTCACTTATATTTCTTGTAGGTCACTTGCAAAGGGAGTAAAAGAAAATAAAATGAAAGAAACATCCTGCCGTTGAAGCTTTTGAAGACCGATTACCAAAAGAAGACACGTATTCATTTAGAATCCTTCACCATCGTAGAGAGAGAGAGAGAGAGAGAGAGAGAGAGAGAGAGAGAGAGAGAGAGAGAGAGAGAGAGAGAGAGAGAGAGAGAGAGAGAGAGAGAGAGCTTGAATTATACTGATTTATTTTCAGAGTTTTTGAAAGATGAGTTTGATTTTGTTTTATAATTTTAGTCCAACTTTTAGTTCGGGTTCTTATAGACTGAAAGATTGATTTTTTTTTTGTTTTTTTTTGTTTATTTTCGTACGACACTTGGGATAGTGTTTGCGTACACGTGGGGCCCACAATTGGTTTTGAAGTTCACGAGTTAGCCAAAAAAATAGCTAGAGAGTGAAGTGTAGAAACAATTAAATTAGAAGAGAGTTCTAGTAGAGTAAATCTATATTATACTACGTGTGCGCAACCATTTTCTTTTATAATATCACAATTGTACGTTCTCCCGTACATTCAATTTTAAATTGCATCTATTTCTCCACTTTTAAATTGCATCTCTTTCTCCCGGGAAAATCCATCTTTTTCTTAGCAATGCCTTTGTCATTCAAATAGCCTTTCGTTAGATAGGAACACAGTTGATAAATACTGATAACTCTTCGATTCGGCAGTCGGTTATGGAATAGTCTTTTGGTCGGCTTTCCCTATGGACTTTCTCTATGTGGGGCGGAGCTCTAAGAAAGAGAACAGGGAAAGGTGTAATTGAGGATGAGTTCGATCCACTAGGTTCGTGCTTTATGACTGAACTTCGCTTCGCTTCAAAATTACATGAGTCTCACTTTGCTCTCCTTATTTATTCGTCATTTGTATGGAGAGATTGGCTCACTTGATCGCGTCTAAGGTGTGCGTGCATGATAATATGAACATAATAAGGTATGATTTATCAATTTTTATCTGAGATTCGTCAATAATTGTTCAATGAAACTTTTTATTTTATTTGGAAGATCAAAATATCTAATTTTGATATGGATCTATCATTTGAATTTTGAATGTTTGCAATATAGGTTTTCATGTAAAAAGAATGAGAAAGAAAAATAAAAGAAAGCCCACTAATTGAGATAAAACCACGGGCCTCGAACCCAAAAAGCTAGATTTGAACCCATTTAGATATTGGCATTTCAAATCCACACACACAAAATTTGACAAGTTCACAAGGCCGATTTAGATGCCAACCTATTTGGGCCGTAACCAAATTTCAACATTCGATTGGTTCTATTTGTTTGGAATCTTTGGATATAGTTTTTTTTTTTTTTAATGTAATCATGGTTAATTTGAAAAAATTATTTAATTAATTTTAAGTTGGATTTTAACTTTTTATTAAAATAATATTTAAATAAAATAATTAAAGTTGATTTAATGTAAAAGTAGGAGTAGACATGCCCACGGGCCGAACTGGCCCGTGAACTGGCCCGCGAACCGGTCCCGTAGGGTCGCGGTTCGGTCCCGGTTCTATTTTTTTATTTTGGTCCCACCAGTCTGGGCCGAGCCGAGTCGGACGGCGGGTCACATTGTTAATTTTTTTTTTGTTTTTAAGGGCCAACCGACCCGTGAACCGGCGGTTCGGGCCAGTTCTATAAACCGGCCCTTGGTTCTTTAGCGGGTCGGCTGCGGGCCAAGTGTTGGAGGGCCCGTGGCCCGCCGGGCCGAGCCGAGCCAGGCCTCCGCCCGTTGACTGACCCCCTCTAAGTAGGAGAAGAGTGATTGAAAGTTATAGATAACTAAAATTATTTGAGTGTATGAATAGCGAATTAAAATTGACTTTTGACGTGTAAATTTGATTAATTGATATTATTTATTTATATTGATAATATATTGGGACAATGACATTGAATTGCAGTTGAATTAGATTTTGAGTTGAGATTAAAATTATTTTTGGATACATTTATAAACACTACGACGCCAATTACTAATTATACTTGGTGAATTTAAATGTTGTTCACTATATTTTAAATACTTGTCTTTTATTTTACAATTATACATTTGAAAATTTCATGTTGAACCCAAATGTTTCTAAATATTTTTCATTTCTTTGTATAAATAAAAACATTATTTATGTCCCTCAAAAAAAAAAAAAAAAAAAAAAAAAAAAAAAA